GCTTCCGAGAAACATGCAAAACGGGACGGAAAACATGAAATTTTGCAATAATCTTGCGCCACCCTTGCACAAAACGACGATCATTTTTCTAATTTAATGTAGAAAGTAACACTCAACACTGACATACGTTTGGAGTTAACCAAATTCCACATATTTTCGATGGTGATTGGACAAAGTCGGATTTTGCATGCCTACATTATACATTTTCTTCTCCCAAATCAGCAATGATCGTAATGTCCTTTATATTATTCCAGATACCGAGGGTAGTGACTCGACTATACCATAAAATGGCAGCAGTGATTCCAGCCGTCACCAGGATCTCTCCCAGAGTAATTAGGGTGTTGGGCTGTAACCCGAGCTGTATGACCCTACAGGGCACCAACACCTACATCGTGGGTACTGGCAAGCGGTAAGCAATTAGCGTTAAACAACTCAACAAGTTCCAACCTCAGTTCTTTACCTTACAAAAAATGGTAGGAGGGTCCTAATTGACGCTGGCGATGCCGATGTGCCCCAATACATCAACCACCTTAAAAACGTTCTTACGCAGGAAGACATCGATTTGGCCCATATTTTCTTGACTCATTGGCATCACGATCACGTCGGTGGTTTGAATGATATTTTAGAAGAATTGCCCGAATTTACTGGTAAAACATTTTCATCCATCGTTCGCTACTGATTGCTGTATTGGGATTGGTTTTTAGAAAACTGCGAAATTTGGAAGTATCCCCGCTTTGAGGACCACAACATTCATCCAGAGCTCGGGTCGTTAAAGGATGGACAAGAGTTTGCGGTTGAGGGGGCCACTTTGCGCGTTCTGCATACCCCTGGCCATGCCACTGACCATGTGGTCTTTAGCTTGCTGGAAGAAAATGCGATGTTCAGTGGTGACTGCGTTCTCGGCGAAGGAACTGCTGTGTTTGAGGACCTGTTTGACTACATGAACTCCCTGAGAGCCATATTGGAGACTCAGCCTTTCGTAATTTATCCTGGACATGGGAATACGATTCGTGTATGTATTTGCAGTGTCATGAAAGTTTGGCCAGCTGTTGATATGAAACGAAATTTCAGAACCCCCTGGAAAAGATACAATTTTACATTTCCCATCGCTTGCAAAGGGAAAAGCAAATATTGGATGTGTTGGCTGACAACCAAGAGCGAACTTTTACAGAATACGAACTCGTCGCGCAAATTTACAAGGGTTTGCATGAAAACCTAATCAAAGCAGCAGAAGGCAATGTAAACCATCATTTACAAAAACTATTGAAGGAGAACAAAGTCACAATAACGAAAGGTAGATGGCGGATTTGCACAGTCAAACATTTTTGACTCGGCACCCAGCAAATAAATAAGCGGTTTTGTGATATTGTAGCTTTAAGATTTCAATAAGATATTTTGCTCCCCATTATAAAGTATGTTCTTGGGTAGGTATGCGATTGTATTAATAAGCATTAAATAATCCTCATGCATAAGGCTGCATTATTTACTAAAATCAGGCGAAACAATTTAACAAAGTTCCCATAGTTTTAGCAATTTTCATTCTTTTAAGCAATTTAATTTTACCGCCTTGGTTGTGCGATGAAATTTTCTCTCGTTCGCTGCTTACAAAAAATGTCTTTACACCCTTTCTTAGTGGTGTTTCGGTTCCGGACCACTTTTCACTAATTTCATTACGGCTTACCTAATTTTATTTAAAAGAGCAGTTAACCAACACTAGTAAAAACTAAATAAATTAACCGAAACTTATCAGAACATTACAAATTTCTTTACTTATAACCGTCACTGAAATGTCTTCTTCTTCTTCTTCTTGTCTAATAATACCTGTGTTAGTGGGGTTCTGTGCTGTATCGCTTTAGGGCGTTCATGCGTCCTTTTATATGTAACAGTCAAAATTTAAAAAACCTGGTATTAATAATTCTCTTATCAACAACCCACTTGTATAAGTTGGTATCAGATGGATAATCGGACGATACCCAAAGATAAATACAAGCAAACTGCTCAGAAGAGATAAAGAAGAAGGTTGTGTCATGTGCCAATTGTCTTGCAATGTCAAAACCTTCAGCTGCTTTAGAGAAAAGTTGTGGAGCAGAGTCGAAAAGTGGAGCGAAGGTTCTAAGCCATATTTATCACTTTCTTTGTAATTAACATGCAGAAAACCACAGAAATAAGCAGATGAACGACTGTAAGTCATTTAGTTGCGTAGTGGTAGAAACTTTGGAAGATTTTGATTCTGCTTAAAAATCCTAACCTGAAACTTGCCACAAGTATGAACACATCAATAACGGATCCGGGGCCAATTCCCAATAGGTGGTTGAATTGCCCACGGAAAGCGAATAAGTTAATAATAGGTAAACTTTTGGCTCTGAAAACTCCCCTAAGCGCAAAATTTGACCACGTTGTGCCTGCTGAATGCAGGTTTCACCCAAAGATGTTTTTTGGTAGCTGTAAAACCAAAAAGGTATTTATGATCTGTAACTAACAACTGAACGCGTGCAATATGAATGGTGTTTTAGTTGAAGATTGGATTGTGGCTAGATCTGACAAACACTAATAGATTTTATGACAAAGCTGAAATTGAAAAATTCGGATGTAAATATATAAAACTGAAGTGCAGGGGACATGGAGAAACTCCCAATAAAGATCAAGTAAACTCGTTTTTGGAACTTGTGCATTCGTTTATTGCACAGCATCCATTAGAAATTGTTGCTGTGCATTGCACTCATGGCTTCAATAGGACTGGTTTTCTAATAGTTAGCTATCTAATTGAGAAAATGGATTTCTGCTTGGATGTCGCTCTCCAAACATTTGCTGACGCCAGGTAGCAATACGGTGTATTTTGGGACGCCAAAATTCTATTTAATTCTTCCTTCATTAGACCCGTAGGAATTTACAAGCAAGATTATCTAGCTGAACTCTATCGAGTGTATGATGATATTAAAGACATGCCGCCAGCGCCCACATTGCCTGATTGGTGCTTGGAAAGTGACGACAGCAATGGTAATGAAGCGAACGGGGACTCGTATGCAGCACCTTCATCCTCAAGGTACAGTAGTGCCTCCACAAAGTCGCATGCACTTGACAAAATTTGTTTCACTAGGAGCTCCAGGAGGAACAACCACACCACAAAGTTCATGAGTGGCGTTCCCGGAGTTTCCCATTTCGATGCCCAGCCAAGAGCATTCCATTTGCAAAGCAAAGTTCAAACAATGTGCGGTTGGAAAGAACGGGACTTCCCGGGCTGCCAACCTGTGTCTATGGATCAATCAAACTTAAAGCTGTTGCACAAGAAACCTTACAGGTATTATTCAGCGACTCATATTCTTTTGAAATGTGATGTTGAACCAGTTGCTTATAATCGGTTTGTAGGGTTTCATGGAAGGCTGACGGTATGCGATATATGATGCTTATTGACGGCGAAGACGAAGTATATTTTTTCGATAGGAATCACACAGTATTTAAAGTTGACGGTGTTAAATTTGTGAGCCGCAAAGATTTGAAATCGCACCTCAAGAACACGTTGTTGGATGGTGTAAGTTGCCGGCATGATTCGTTAAAAGTAGGCAAACATTTCTCATTCTATACGTATAGGAAATGGTTATCGACAAAGTGGGTGGAGAAGATATCCCACGCTATCTCGCCTATGATATAATCAAATTTGATGGGAAGGATGTGGGCAATTGCCCTTTTTACCCATCAAGACTCCAGTGTTTAGAGATGGAAGTAATTAAGCCCCGTTATGCAGCCATGGAACACGGCCTGATCAACAAAAGCGCTGAACCTTTCAGCGTCAGAAAAAAAGAGTTCTGGCCCATTAGTCAAGCCGGTAACCTTTTAGGAGAAAAGTTTGCTAAAAGCCTGAGCCACGAACCAGATGGTCTCATTTTCCAGCCATCTAACGAGGTAGTTACATGAAAAGTACCGGCAAGTGATAAGCCGAATCTAATTTTGTTCTGCTTCCAGAAATACGTTGCCGGCCGATGTGATGAAGTTTTAAAATGGAAGCCTCTTTCCTTAAATTCAGTCGATTTTAGGCTGAAAATAGCGGTGCCAAACCAACCGGGTGTGATACCTGTAAAAACCGCTTATTTGTATGTTGGCCAGTTCGATCAGCCGTACGGCAAAATGACTTATAAGAAATCAATGAAGGATCTCGACGGGAAAATTGTGGAATGCAAATATGAGAATGGCGAATGGAAGTTTATGAGAGAAAGAACTGACAAAACCTACCCCAACAGTTTCAACACTGCTGAAGGTATATAAAGAACACAACAAATCACAGAATCGCATTGTTTAGTATGTCCTTTTTAGCTGTTTACGGAAGCATAGCTAATCCTGTGACTAAGGAACAATTATTGGAATTTATTGAACACCACGGTTACCACACGCAAATGATGCCTCCCGAACCGAAAAGACCCAAACGGTCGCATATACCGAACAATCGTTAGATAATTTTCCAATTTGATTATTATTTATTCTACGTTATTTTTGTATACTAAGTCGCAAATTGATGATTTTATTGTAAACTGCAATTATCAATATATGTAACGAATATTGGCCTGGTGACAACTGAAACCCATTATTATAATTCCACAGAATATTGCCCTTGCATTCAAGCCACAACGGGAGGCCTTAGTAAACCGGCAATTTTCTCGCTACTTCCATAGGATTACATTTTTCGATGTGAAGAATAGAAATGATTGGGGATTGGCTGATGGCGAAAATGATAGCTATCCGCAGTTTGCACTGTTCCAACAAATATTTCCACTTCAAAACGCATTTCTCTTCATCGGTCTTGATAGAAAAATCTCTTGCCTGAAAGGAAAAACTCTGACCTCTGTCTGTCCAGACGACCAACAGTCGGCTGTTCCGGCTTCGAGCCAGTTTTGCTTACCAAGCAACCCAAGGCAAGTTCGGCCGTATGCCCACTCAGTTTACACCTGGGCAGGGTGCCAGTGTGATCAGAAAGTCCCACTGTGATGTCAAAAGTTACGTCTGGTTCAACGTGCGTGCTCTCGAAGACGAGAAGACATCCGGCATTTTCGCATTTCAATCCTCTGATAATCATTTTGCAACGTCCGCTACAGTAAATCGCCATTAATGGAGTTTCAATATCAACTTCAATTGATTACCATTTAATCATTAGAGTCCGCGTGAGTCCATCCAAGTCCAGCTCACTGATGAATGCAAATAATGTCACAGTGAAGGACTTGTTTCCGCTCTCCCTGTTGATAATGCAGCTGTTGATTCGATCCTGAATTTGTCGCACGCTCATAATTTCGTCGATGGCACTACCTAAACAGTTGGATGGTTTTTCGAATTGAATATTCAATGCACTCCTAATGCCCGGTTGCACCGTTTCACGACAGTGATTAAAAATTTAATCGTCGTTTAGTTTGAAAATTGTGTTGTACCGTCGCTGAATCACTGTTTTGTGTATTCTAAACAACGATTATATTAACCGGCACTTTTTGGCTGATTAGCGCCCGATTAGGGACCGTTTAGTATATTTTCTTGTTTTTTTTTATTACAGTGGCTATGGTCTTAGATCCTATTTGTTAGCCCTTTTAGTTAATCCTGCAACAAGAGCCGAAAGGCTATACAATAAGTCCCATATCCGAACAGGAAACGTGATAGAAAGATGTTTTGGAGTTTGGAAAAGAAGGTTTCCCGTTTTGGCGTATGGCTTGAGAACTTCAGTAAAACTGGAGACCGCAATGCACATTATTTCGGCAACTGAAGTTCTATATAATATGGCAAAAAATATAGGTGAAGAAGGTCTGCTTTTGCTTGCAGATATTGATGAGGAGCTAAATTATTTAATTGCTGTTAGGGAAGCAGGCACTGTACCAGAACCACACAGCCAAGCTTTAGTTAACAACTTTAGAAGTCAACTTG